AAGAGGCTGCCCAGGGAAGTGGTTGAGTCACCATCCCTGGAAGTATTTAAAAGACGTGTAGATGAGGCGCTTAGGGACATGGTTTAGTGGGCATGATGGTGTTGGGTTGACGGTTGGACTCGATGATCTTGGAGGTCTTTTCCAACCTTAATGATTCTATGATAATAAGAAAATGGAAGCCAAGCTGATGACAACAAATATGCCTGCTATTATTATTGCGTTACACCATTCTGGATGGAGATAAACTCTATCCTCTGCTTATTATTACTTCACCTAAGCTGAAATGAGAACTGCAAATTCATCAGTAAATGGACTGAAAAAATAAATGGACCGCTGCAATTGCAATATGCTTCTTGCTGAAACACTGTGATTTCTTTCATCAGTTATCTAAAGAACTAAGAGTACCTCTAAAACAAGCTGGTAAATCCTAATTGTATGACAATCGTTAAGGAATCTTGAAATTCCTTTAACAAATGTCACCTAATAAGCGAAGCCTGCATTTATCTTTGCCTTAGTATGCCAGAAGAGTTACTACAAATCAGCTGACACTGATAACGCACACACATTAAACCTCTGTGCAGGTGTTTTTTCCAACTGCTTTAAAACACTAATGTAAAGACATTAACTTCATAGCTTTGGTTGAAATTACAATGAACTTTCCCCTTTAAGTCTGACGGACAGACTTCAGAGCTCTCTGGCTGGCTCTTGGCGCTCTCCCCAAGCTAAATGGCTCTAGCAGTGCTGGATGCAGGGCAGATTTCCGATGATCTGGTAAAATGAGCTCAGGAAGCCCACGAGTCCTGCCAAACAAGCCCAGGAAGTGGGGCGCAGTGCTGTCCTCTGCACATAAGGACTCCAAAACAGCCGAGAACACCGATGCTATGAGAGCACCGTTCAGCCCTCAGGATACAAGTTAATTTTTTCTTAACCTCAAGTTGTGAGGTATTTAGCGCTGGCATACAGATGCAAGAACCTGTAATCACAGAACTCTTGTTGTATCACAGATCTTTTATAATTTGTTAAATTACTAGACTTAATTGATTTTTGCACAAGCATTCCCTAACGCTTCCAAAGGGTAAGCAAATGT